CCCACAGGTCCACGATCACGTCACACCCTCCTCCCAGAGCGGTCCGCAGCAATTCAGCCAGCGCTCCCACCAGGCGCCGCTGCGCCTCCGAGTCTGCGGCGTGCAGGAGCAGCACTGGCCTCGCTCGGCCTGGGCCTGGGGGCGGAAGCGACACCTGAACCGGGTTGGCTGGGGGCACAGGATCGACCCGGCCCTGTCCTTCCTCCTTTCTGTCCCTGATGGCGCTGAGTAAGTGCCAAAGCAGTTCTAGCCCGTTCGGTATCTGGAAGCTAATTAGATAAAGGCATCTCCTCCCCAGCGAGCAAGAGCCAAGCTCCAGGCTCGGCCAGTGCGGCACAGGCTGGACTTCCACACTGTGGACCTGCAGAGGACCCTTGGTACTGCCATACCATCCCTGCCCATCAGGGGCATGAGGCCCACCCCTCCCCCCTTCCTTGGCGGAGACCGTGGGCAGCCACATGGGGAGTGGAGAGAGGACGGGAGGGCATCTAGGCTAGGACTGGGCAAGTCTGAGTCCCTGGCTACCCCCAGGGGACCCTACCTGACAGCAGGCGCCGGCAGGTGACGACCAGAACAACGCCCAGGAGTGTGGAGAGACCCAGGAGCGCCAGGGTCAAGAGGCCCAGGCGCCTGTGAGAGACTGAAACAAGCAACGTGAAGCCAAACCCCACTCTTCAGTGGCCAACCTCCCTCTTAACCCCTTGCCCAGGAACTCACCGTCCGGACACAAGAGGCGCTTCCTGCCAAACTGAACGTCAGACCGCCATACCTGAGGGCACAAAGCACCCACCCAGTGAGCATATAATCCCTTCCTTCCAGGGGCCTTGAAGGAGTCCTGGGGTTAGAGGGGGTCCCCACAGGTTAGGGAATTTCTGTAGCTCCGGCTGTCTTGCTGCAGTTCTAGGGCTGGCACAGAACAGGTCAAGGGTGACTAATGCAAGAGTGATGGGGCCAAACACAAGAAGTGAACTCACCACAGCGGCCAGGAGGACCTGGAGAGAACAGGCCAACTGAAACAGTCAGATACCACTGGGCTCGAAGGCCACTGTCTCCGTGTCCCCATGTGGGCACAGAGCACTAAGTTTTCTGATTTTTCAGAAGCCAGAAATGTAGTTTTAAAAAAAAATGCTGGGTATGGTGCACACATGTAATCCCAGCACTTGGGAAGCAGAGGCAGGAGGATCACGAGTTTGAGGCCAGCCTCAGAAAGTTTGAGCCAAAGTCTGAGCAATTTATCGACTCAGCAAGATCCTGTCTCAAATTTTTTAAAAATAAAATTGAAAATGGCTGAGGATTAGTGAAAAGGCTCTGGGTTCAATCTCCAGTACTATAAAAATAAATAAATACCACACTATGCCTGCCAACCAGACTTTCTACAGAGTCCATTTTCCATGGGTGCCATTTGTAGCACAGACATCAGGGGAGGGCGGGGTTCCTTACCAGGACACAGCCCCCTGGCCTCAGGTAGGGAATGATGAGGTCGGCTGTCACTGGGCCAGAGCCCAGCGTCTGTGGAAACAAAGAGCAGAATGACTCCTCACAGAGGCAAATCAGACTGTATCCAGTCTGAGTCTGCCATGCTAGTCCTCACCATCCTGCCCTCTGCCCACTCCCACACCACCCAGGCTGAGGGCCACACACCACCAACACAGAGTTCCCCAGCACATCGGCCTTCACTGATCTCTCACAGATGTCAGCTTGTACTACAACCAAGACAACACACAATAGGGCCGGGGATTTGGCTCAGTGGTTCCGCCAACTGCTTTGCAAGTGCAAGGGCCGGAGTTGGATCCCCGGTACAAAAAAGAAAACAAAAAAACACACAACACACATGGTTTGAATTGCCTACTCTGTGCCAGGCCCGTGGAAGGCGAGCAGAGACACTGGCCCCACCTTCAGCAGCTCATAAAGCAAGGGGGCTGATCATGTCTGCCTCCCTTCACTCCCTGCACCTCCGGGGAGGCATCCTGTCCACAGGGGAGAAGGTGAGCTGTGGAGTTGGGGCAACATAATCCAGACTTGGCTAACTGCCTCGCAGTCCCTAGCTGCAGTCTTCGTGCAGACATGGGTTACCTCTCTCTGAGGCTCACTTCTTCGCTCATATGTGAGTTATGATAACCTGTATTTTGGAGGGCTAGTAGGAACAGCATCTGGGAGTAAACCTCAGTGTATGTGTATTTGTTGGTAGTAGCTATCATTAGACTGTGAATCCCGTGGGCCAGGGACTGTATCACTGTTCTTTTCTCTCCCAGGGCCGACACAGGGTAGGCACAGAGTAGGGACTCAATAAGTTGTTCTCTGACCACAGGTGGAATGTGGCTCCAGGATGCTCATGAGGGGGTAGGCCAGTCTCCACCCTTCAGGACCACCCTCCACGCCTACCCATACTGCATGCCTGTCTCAGACCTCGCTCCCCAGCCAGCCGTGAGCAGACACTGGTGTTGTGGCTCACAAATTATGGACGAACTCAGTGGAGCCAGTCTTTCCCAGCTCGCGGAAGCAGATGAGTCAATAGGTGTGGGCCTCAGTTTTAGATGATTGCACTCAACTAACTACATCTTAAATCTTAAGTATTTTCTACCACCAGTCTGCTTGACAGCCCCTTAGTATACAAAGCAAATAACCAAGCTGCATTTAAGAAACAACCAAGCATTTAAGAAAAAGCTAGTCACTCAGACCTGTCATGTAAGGGTACCAGATAAAGTACCAGTAAACTCAATAAGATTTTTAAAAATAAGAAAAAGCTAGTCATCCTCCATTTGGTGCTACAGTTGATTTTTTAAAATATTGATGTTTCTTCTAAATGGGGTGCTAAAGTTTTGTGAGTGTATTTGATTATGGTTTTTTTCTTCTTCTTGAGATAGGGTTTCATTATGTAGCCCAGGCTGATCTCAAACTCCCAGTAGTCCTGCCTCATCCTCCTGAGTGCTGAGATTATAGATGTGTGCCACCATACCAGGCTTTGATTATGGTTTTTGTTGCTATTGTTTTTATCTTAGATGCACAGAAGAGAGCCTGATAGTCAGCTGTTCTTAGCCCATATAGTGCAGTTAAATGTCTTTGCAGTACTGTACTGAGAGCATTTCTGCTTCTAAGGACTCTCAATTTTTTTTTTCTCAATTTTGGGAATTGAACCTGGGACTTCAGGCATGCTAGACAAATGTTCTACATCCCTAACCTGAGGTGCCCTCTTTTGAGAATATCTGCATGGGGATCTGTGGAGGGAGGAGAGTGGGTAGAGGACAGCTGGGTCCAAGGATGGCATCAGTATCAAATGTGGCAGCAGTTCAGGTGGGCTAGAGGACAGCTGGGTGCAAGGGGGCCACTCCCTTGCCTCTGTCATCCCTGCAGTTTCAGGAAGTGAAAGCCTTAGCAACTGTCCCATAAGGGACTGCCACTGACGGACAGCAAATCAGCAGGACAAAGCCAATCAAGTAGACAGATTTAACAGATGGTACAAGTCAGGGCTTTGCTCCCTTTACCCTAGGTCTGTCTTACTTAGGTAACAAGGATACTGGGGCCATGCTCTCTCTGAGCAACAGGACCTCACAAGGGCCCTGGCTGGTCCATACCTGGCTGATGCTGTAGACCGGGGACATGGAGGTGTCTGGCGCCAAGCCTGGGTGGCTCCAGGCAGCACTGAAGGTGGCACGGATCCTCGAGGAAAAGTGAAGGATCAGCTGCTGAGCCTGGGTGGCCATGCTCACGTTCCAGGACACGAGAGACCCTATTTGTGGAAGTGGACAGAGCTGGACTACAGCAGACACAGGAGTCAGGGCTGGGCTAGGGTTTGGCTCACTACAGCAGGGTGAGGGTGAAATGTGGGGAGGGTTCGAGCTGAGGTCACTTATTGGCTTACCACTGTGGTGGGGGCATTCAACGTCACTACACACTACAGCAGGGTGAGGGTTCGAGCTGAGGTCACTTATTGGCTTACCACTGTGGTGGGGGCATTCAACGCGACTGCTGTGTTCTGAATAGAACTGAGTAATATGGGAATAGCAAGTCAGCATGACCCAGGCACCAGCCATGCCCTCTGCCCACCTCCCACCCCCCGCTCATGGTTATACCTTGAAGCAAAGATGGGGGTGCAAGTCCACCTTCTCTAAAATATACCACTGTGAGGAAGAGGGCAGTCAGTCAGGGAGAAGGTCCCTGGGTGCCAGCTCTGCCCACCTTGGGTTCAGGAGATGAGAGGGAATGTCCTTACTCCTTCTGACTCTCGGGCTGTGGCATTGGGGAGGTCTTCACAGGGGCTGTGCTGGTCTTGCCTCTGGCAGAGGGAGGCCTCCAGCTTCAGGGGGCAGCGGAGTGTCAGAGCCATGACCATCTGACTGTGCTGGCTATGGTCGGTGAAGTGAGCTGACTTCCAGAGGTCTGAGGCGTCTGGAAAGCAGCAAGGTCAGAGGGTGAGGCCTCAGTCCTGCTCTAACGTCACTTTACTTCCCCCATCCCCAGGAGATAATGGTGGAAGTGCACAGATCCTGGCTCAAAGAGGTATAGTCAGTAAGCGTCCCCACTTCCGTCTCCTTTATTATCTTTCTACCCAGCAGTCTCCTTTCCATTCTGGCCAGCCCCTTGCTATACCCCTACTACAAATCTGCTGAGGCTCTTTTCAAAACCTGGAATGCCTTCCCCTCCTGTCTCTCCCTGCTAAATCCTGTCGATTTTCTGAGCCCCACTCCTGTGCCAGCTCCCTGGAGAGGCCTTCTCTGCTCACAACAGGCTTCCTGGGCCTTTCCCTTTTTTGGGCTCATGTTGCAGCCTAGTGCTCACTATCACCCTGCGCTGTGCACCCTGGAGGCTGCTCACTTGTGTCTGAGTGCAGTCTTGCTCCGTGAGGACAGCAACATGCATGCAACACTTTAGACTCACCCATCACTTACACTGGGAACGTTTCATTCAAGCCCCACACACGGTTTGAGAAACAGGCAGGGTAAATCTCATGATTTTACCAGTGAAGAAAGGAGGCTCAGAAGAAACTAAAGGGCAGTGCTGAGAGGTGAACCCAGTTCTCTGGCCCATCCATCCTTTTGGGAAATCACTTCCCGCGTCTTTACCTTTGTGACCCTGTCAATTGGAAGGTGCCTACTGAGGGCTTCTTCCAACGTGGGTATGAAGTGTATGTGCGTGTGTGTGTGAGACAGGAACAGAGATAGACATAAATTCAGAGAGGGTGTGTGTGCACATGAGTGCATACGAGCCATACTCACAAGCTTCAGGCCAGCTCTGGAAGGGACATTTTTTGCGCCTCACACCATCCTCTTGCAGGTAGGATGCCTGAGGTGGGGGTGGGGGAAAAGGAGAACAGGCAGGGAGAGTCAGGAGAAAGGACTTTTCCTGTAGCACTCAGACCTGACATTAGTCCTGGCTCACCCTTTACTGAACTGCAGGCTGAGCTGGAAGGGCAGTGAGGAGGGAAGCCAGGCAGAATGTGGGGAAGGGTAGAGAGGGCCTCCAGACCTAGGGGAATGGGCAAGACAGGGCCTGACTCCTCTTCTCCCTGGAGACAGTCTCAGCAAGAGGGAGACCATGAAGTCCACGCTCTTCAGTTCAGCCTCCCCTGGCCTCCACTTTCGGCTATTCTCAAGTGCCCCGGGTCTGCGTTGGCTCCTACTCTGGACTGCCCAACACCAGCTGTTGTCCACTCTGTCAGTGGTTTGATGCACCAGGCCTCTGCTCTACCCTCTCCTTGGCCCTGTTCCTTTTCTAACTAGTCCAAAGCAGCTTTTCTGCTAGACACCTCAGACTTGTAAGACAAGGAGATGTGCAATAGAGGGCTCTTGGGGCCGGGACTTTTGGAGTCATATGGAACACGCAGAGATGGCATCTGTCCATTCTGCTTTTGTGGACTACAGCCAAGTCTGGACCAGCTAGAGCTGGGGCTGAATGGGGCTGAGGCTGGGATTGTGCTAAGCAGGTCTATTCAGCAGGACCTTTCTGCCTCTGACCAAGTGTGGCTACAGCCAGGCTGACACCAGTCTCTCTAAGCATCTCAGTGACACTCAGCCTTTTTTTTCCAAGGGCAGTTTGTTTTGTTTTGTTTGTACTGGGGATTGAACTCTGGGACCTTGTGCTTGTGAGGCAGGGGCCAGAACCACTGAGCTAAGTATCCGGCTTTGAAAAAAATTTTTATACTGGGGATTGAACCTAGGGCTTTTGCACTGAGCTACATCCCTGGCTTTTTCCCCGCTTTCTGAGATAGGGTCCCAATATGTAATTTAGGGTGGCCTTAAACTCACTATGCAGCCCAGGCTGGCCTTGTAGTCATGGTGATCCTCCTGCTTCAGCCTTCAGAAAGTGCTGGGATTACAGGCGTGCACCACCATGCCCAGCTTTCTTTCTTTTCTTTTCTTTTTCTTTTTTTTCCCCAGCTTTCTATTCTTTTTTTTATTCCTAGTCTTTTTTTTTTTTTTAACTTTTTGTTTTCAGATAGGTCTCACTAAGTTGCCTAGGATGAGCTTAAGCTTGTGATCTTCCTGCCTCAGCCTCCCAGAGTGCTGGCATTATAAGCATGTGCCAACACACCAGCATAGTCTTTTTTTGTTTTTATTTTGCGGGGCTGGGGATCAAATCCAGACCTCAAATGTTAGGAAAGTGCTCTACCACTGAGCCACACCTCCAGCTCCACTTCATCTATTTAAAACCTGACCTTAAACCAGGCGTGGTGCCGCACACCTGTAATCCCAGCACTTGGGAGGCTGAGGCAGGAGGATCGCTGTGAGTTCAAGACCAGCCTGGGCTACATAGTGAGTTCCAGGTCAGTCTCAACTACATAGTGAGACCCTGTCTCAAAAAAACCTAAAAAAAGGGCCGGGGATTTAGCTCAGCGGTTCAGTGGCCTGCCTTGCAAGTGCAAGGACACAAGTTCAATCCCCGGTACCAAAAAAAAAAAAAATAAAAAAAAAAAAAAAAAAAAAAAAAAAAACCCTGACCTTGCTTGACCAAGACCCAGGGACAACCTACCCATTGTCCTCTGCTCACCTCTATGCACAGACAGGGCAGCAATAATTCATAAGGCAGGTCTGAAGTGTGGCCCCCAGCCACAGTTTTCTGTTGAAGAAACAACAAAGGAAGAAAGGAAGACATGTGAGAAACAGAATGGGCACTATGCACAAGGGGAGGAAGACACCAGGACTTTGGCCCACACAGTCTGTCTTTTCTTACCTTTACCTTTTTTTTTTTTTCCCCAGTACAGGGATCAAACTCAGGACCTTGCCCTTGCAAGGCAGGCATGGTGCCACTGAGCTAAATCCCCACCCCCAGCCTGTTTTTTCTTATATAGGACTTTTTTCTCCCACTAAAAATCTCCTCTCACAAGTCTCTGCTCTACACGCTGGCCATTTGGTCTAGGTGCTCTCTATGAGGTGGGGGTGAGTATGTATTTATTCAGCTCTAACAGTACACCCACAGGGTGTTGGAAGCATTAACTTGTCATGGTGAAGTTATGAGTAATCACCAGGCTGAAAATGAAGAGAGCTGAGGGCCTCTGGGGCACAGCGTCAGTCTCTTACCAACTGTACACAGCAGCATCTATGATGACTGGAAGCTGAGGGGATCAGTGCTATTTTATTTTATTTTTGTTGTTTTTTGAGACAGGCTCTCCCTATATAGTTGAGACTGACCTGGAACTCACTATGTGGCCCAGGTTGGTCTCAAACGCACAGGGATCCTTCTGCCTCAGCCTCCCTAGTGCTGGGATTACAGGTGTGTGCTACCACGCCCAGCCATTGCTATTTTTTTCTCTAAGGGGCAGAACAAAGTATGGGTGAGGGAAGGGCACCAAAAGTACACTTGTTTACTTCATTACGTTCTCAGGGGAACCACCTTTGGGTGAGCTGAAAAGGTTTTAATGCAAACTGACTCACACTGAGGGGCCTCTCTGTGAGGGTATCTACCATACTTGTTTCTTTTTTCGTCACTCATTGTTCCTCTGGGACTCTGCCTGCTCCTCCATGTCTTCTCCCAAGTAACAAGACCCTTTTCCTTCCTGTCTAGTGCACAGAAGCCATCATGCCAGACATCTCATCTGGCAAGGAGGTCCTAAACACAGGTGTCCCCAGGGGCTTCAGCAGGGTGTGCTGGCTCTGTACGTGGGACACTCCATACCTGGGCGTCAAAGGGACTGCTCGGCTCTTCACACTCGAGTGCCCACTGATGACAAAGACGCACGCTGACTTCTGGGCCTGGTGGAATGGTCACCCGAATAACCTGGGCCTCAGGCAGCACCTCAAAGATGAACTCCGGTCCTGTGGAGATACGGACACTCAGTAGCCTTACCTCCTGGCCTGAGTACTCCTCATACTTAGTACTACTCATAAATAGCACTACTCAGCTAAAACCATCTCTTGCCATATCCCATGCCTACCTCGAAGCCTTTGTGAGCCCACTGCATCTAGATCTGAAGGGTGGGTCCTTCTGTACCATCGCCCCTTGTGTGAGATGTCTGGGGTAGGCGTGGAAATGTGATGGCCCTTCTTAGACAGGGAATGGCTACCGAGCAGCTTTATCTATAAGCAGAGAACAAGACTCACTTCAGGCCAGGAATTAGGAATCTGGCTTCTATTTCTACCTCTAGAACCTGAGGAACCACAGTTGTTCAACCTCTTTTGGCCTCAGTTTCCTTTACTGTGTAATCTCCTTATGTTCAATCTCCTTCATGTGTCTGGAGAACAAAATGACAGGCTAGAAAGTAAAGGGCTAAGGGACATAGGGTAGGGCTGGAACTGGCAGGGAGAGTGAGTACCTGAGGAGATGCTGGCATCTTGTGTCTGCAGAACTTGAACTTGTAAGACTTTTCAGATTTTTGCACTGGGAGATGGAACCAGCCCCACTGAAGGCCTGTGCGGGCAGGACACACTTAGCATTCTGCCCTTCACGGCCCCTCCCTTGCCTGGGGATGTTGCTTAATGTTGGATAGAAAGCCATTTTAAATCAAAGACAATAATGACATCAAGAGAACTAAATCCTGAAAAGTATGATGCAGTGAAAAAGAATATCTTAAGCAGAGAAAAAGCTACATATATTTATGCATATACAAGGGTATTCATTATTTCTTTTTGGTACTGGGGATCGAACTCAGGACCTTGCGCTTGCAAGGCAGGCAGCAGCACCACTGAGCTAAATCCCCGGCCCAGCTATTCATTATTTCTAATGGTGAAAATTTAGAAACTTCTAATTTTTAAGTAATATATGGATATTTAGTATGGCAGGCAAGACAATAAAAATAAGACTTGAGAAGAGCTGAGATTTAGCTCAGTGGTTCTGCCACTTGCTTCACAAGTGCAAGGTCCCAAGTTCAATCCCCAATACCCAAAAAAACAAAAAACAATGCTGGAGATTTAGCTCAGTGGTTCTGCCATCTGCTTTGCAAATGCAAGGACCCGAGTTCGATCCCCAAAAAAAAAAAAAAAAAAAGAAAAAGAAAAGAAGACTTGAGGGCCGGGGATTTGGCTCAGTGGTTCTACCACCTGCCTTGCAAAAGCAAGGGCCAGAGTTCAATCCCCAGTACAAAAAAAAAAGTATTTAAGACTTGAAATAAGAAAGAATAACCTGCTTTACAAATAGAAATAATAGAACTGGGGATACACCTCAGTGGTGCTGTGCTTGCCCGGCAAGCACAAGGTTCTGAGTTTGATCACCAGTACTGGGGAAAAAAAAAAAGTAATAAAAATAAGTTCATAAAAATCAAACATTTCAGAATTGGTACCATTAAAAAGATTAACACCTTCACAGTGCCATACAGTTGTTCCCGTATCCATCATAGAATGCTCTTTTAGGATGCTCTAAGTCCCTACTGAGGTTGACAACAGGACAAAAATCTGTCCTATGACAAGTCCCACTTTTCTGAGCCTTGGTGTGTCCCCAAATAGCCCCTAATTCATACCTCTATTGAGAATGGCCCAAAAGGCTGTTTTTCACATCTGAAAGTCCTATACCATGTGCCACCACAGACAGCAGGGCCAGTGCCAGACCTGAGCATGCCAGGGCTTTGTGGAGATGAGGAGCATCAACTGGGTATGACAAGAAATATGGCACAAATTCTTGTGTAAAATGGAAAGGAAATAGAATGACAAAGGGCCAGGGATTTATCTCAGTGGTTCTGCTCCCTGCTTCATAAACTCAAGGACCCAAGTTCAATCCCAAGCACCAAAAAGAAAAAGAAAGGCTCACCCTCACGCATGACTAGGAGGCCCCAGAGCCTGGCGGTCTCTGAGGGGCTCCTGCTCACCTGATCAGGACTCTGGCCTAACCCTCTCCCTCCAGCCACTAGGCAGCTTTTTCACCTCTGGAGTCCCCTCCCAAGTCTTGGGCCAAAAGAAAATAAAGGCTTTTGTAGGAAAAAAAAAAAAAAAGAGTGCCCACATCCCAGTGCTCCTCTAGGTCAGAAGGGACATTGCTTCGTGTACAATCAGTCCTCCACTATTAAATTCCTCAGAAGCAAGGGTCAGGTGGAGAAGTACATTCTCTGAGGCTGCTCACGGAGTCTGGGGCAGAACTGCATAAAAAAATCCAGGATTGTTCTCTACTTTTTAATGATACTATTCTACTTCCGAAAGTTACAAAGGAGAGCTTACTAGGGATCTGGAACAAAGGGGAGTGAGGGGAGAGTGGGGCAGGAAATAACTCACCAGCGAATCTCTTATCCTGAAGGCAAGGGGTCCAGTGAGGGTAAGACTCCCATTTGCTTCAAAGCATCCAATTGTGAGGCTTAACTAGTAGCCATGTACTCCTGCCTTTCTCCTCCCAGCTCCACCCTGCCGAGGCCCTCCGCACACCACGACCTTGGCAATCCATCCACAACTTTGTGGGTGACGCACTGAGGCTGCCACCAGAGCACGGGGAAAGGGAGGCTGGAAAGGGCAGGCAAAGAAGCGGGAAGCTTTGGCCCGTGCCAGACAGGCGTCCCATTCAGCAACGGGACCTTACCATGTGAGAAGCCAGTAGACAGCGGGTGATCCTGTGTGGCAGGTAGCCACAGCCAATATCAGCAGAGGCAGAGAGGCCTGAGAGCAGCAGGAGGGTAGTCAGGAGGGAGGCTGCCAGTCTGGGGCTCCCCATGGGCTTCTGTGGGAGCAGGGGGCCGAAAACATGGATTTGGGGCCTGAGGGTGGGCAACAGGCCTTGCTTTGCAGCTGCTGGAGGCCCAGTGCCAGCAGAAGCCCTGGCTTTATCTCGCCCAGCCCCGCCCTACTCCAAGCTCCTCCTCAACCTCAACCAGCAGGCCAGGCAACATTCCTTCTCTAAGCAGAGGAACTAAGGAACCCAGGACCAACGGAGAGATAGATAGATGTGCCTTATTCACTAGAAAACCCTGCTGCTGCCACCTGGAAGATAAAGGGCTCTTGCTGCGGCAGAGAAATAACAGAAAAGGGCCCTGCATCAGACTGGGGGGTGGTGTACCTATTTCTTAACTGAAACACCCTGCAGATCTGACCTGCCCATTAACAGGCTCTTAAACCTGAGTGTCACCTAAAGACACTGCTCCATTCGCTCACTTAAAAAGTTAACAGACCTAGTAGGCACTGCACTACTCTGGGTGCAGAAGATACAGAGGTAACTGATACAACATTTAACTGCACAAAGAAAAATGCACCACAGGATGCAAATAAACCTCTCCTGTTCCCGTAGGTACCCAGGCTCCCTACCTGGCTGATTCTTAGGACTACAAGCTTTCTCTCTCTACACAATAGCCTGTTCCATTCTATTGGGTAAAGGACTCCAACCCAAGGGGGTTCACAGCTTCAGGGACCCATTGACCATATAGCAAGCTCAGGAAGCCCCAGAGTTCACAGCTGAGCCCTGGAGCTGAGGGAGCAGGCCCCATGCACTGACCTGGTTTCCTGTGGTTTCCGGCGCAGGAGAAGGCTGATGAGGCTCCAGTGTTTGTGGGGAGCCTCCCCATCATCGCACAGCTTCCTCCTCCTCACGGAGTACTTGAGAAGCTTCAGCCCTCACCTCAGTGACACCCACAGTGGAAGGAAAGACCAGGGCATACCCACCAGGTCAGGGCATCAGGAGTGCTACTGTTCCTCTACCGCTCAATCCTGATCACCTTTCAGGAGCCTGATCGCAGAATTCTTTTGGTCAATTCAATTCCTAAATCTTCAGATGTATTATCTGAAGGCCCATCCTACCTGCTATCCTTAAAATATCCTCTAGCTTCTGAATTCATTAAAAGATATTCTTTCTTATTCTTTACATTTCTCAAACACTTGGTAATGGAATTCATGAAACAGATGCTCTACAGTTGAATAAAGGTAGATTATGGCACATTTTATCAAAGCAGTTTGTCTTTTCACATTTCATTAGAACACTTTCATATTAGATCTTTCTAAGCACCTTATGAGACAAACAGGTGAGAATCACTGTTTTCATTTCATAAAGACAAAAACAAGGAAGCAGAAAGGAAAGTGATTTGGTTAAGGTCAAAGTCTGTAGCCCAGGGAACTCCACTTCTGCTGGGCCCTCGCAACTCAATACTCTATGACCCTATGGTCTCTCTTTCCAGAGCTTAATCTTTCTGTGTTCTTAGAACCAACAAGGGTCCATCTGGCACAGTGCTTTCATTTGGCATTGGAGCCCATCTCTGCAAACAAATCAGTAAGGTCTGAAAGGAGGAAAAGTTGGTCTGCCCATACGAACAATGGATTAGGAAGTCTTCCCTCGAATTCTACCTAACTCACAGTGGTTTCCATCTACCTACATAATTAAGTTTTCTTTCCTATTATTTGAGATGGGGTCTTGCTTTGTTGCCCCAAGCTGGCCTTTAACTTATTCTATACCCCAGGCTAGCATCAAACTCAAGATCCTCTTGCCTCAGCATCCAGTGCTGGGGTTACAAGTATGCACCGCCACGCCCAGAAAGAATGAGCTTTCTAATGCTGGACTATGCAGTGAGAAACTTGGCTCTATTCTAGAACATGTGTCTTTCCCAATCCCTGCATCCTCTGATGTAACTCAGGTAAAATCTCATTAAGTAGGCTCAAATTTGCAGTCTTTGTCCCTCAGCCTCCCAGAATGCTGGGATTATAGGTGTGTGCCACAGCATTTGGCTTTTTTTTTTTTTTTTTAATACTGGGGACTGAACCCAAGGCCTTTACAGTAAACTATGTCCAGCCCTTTCTTTGAAAATTATGTTTTTATATAATAGATATTGGGAAATGGGAAGAAAATGTTCAAATGGGAAGGGGAACAAGGGAGGGGAGACAGAAAATGAAGTAAGGGAAAAGAAAAAAGTGAAAATAGAAGGAAAAAATAGAAACAAAGCTTTTGTACATAGGGAGGGGAGGAGGGCTTTCAGAAAGAGGGGGACTGGGAAAAAAAGGGGTGGGTACATGTAGAGGTGCAAATTCTCTATGAGGAGTGCTTTTGTTATGTATGTCTAAAATGTGCCAATAAATGTTTTGCTATAAAAATATTTTTCTTAAGTTTATTGGTACATTTTAGGTATACAGTACAGTTACATTCATCATTGGAAATTAGTTCCTTTAAATGATGTATCTTGGTTCTTAATTTTTCTTCTTTTCCCTGCCCTCTCTTCAACCTCTCCATCCCTCCCTATTTACAATGACTTTGTTTCCATTTTTTTCCTTTTCTTATATTTTTCCCTTTGCCTTCTTTCTTTTCCCCTACCTCTCATTTCCCTTACACCTTTAGACATTTTCAATTATACATTTTGACCCTTATTTACACTTTTAGTTTCTCACACCAGACAAACTATTTGGTATTTACACGTGTGTGTTCTATTTATTTCACTTAAGAGTATGGCCACAATGTGCATCCACTTAGATATGAATGTCTCTAGTTTCTCATTCTTTATGGCTGAGTAGTACTCCATTTTTTTTTTAAACCCCCATCTTTACCAAGTCTCCAGTTGATGGGTGATTGGGCTGCTTCCAAGCTTTAGCTATTACAAATTGTGCCACTATAAACATGAGTGTGCATATATTGCTGTGGCATGATTCTTTTAATTCTTTTGGGAAGATATCCAGCAGAGGAATAGCTGGATGAAATGGATGTCTAATCCTAGTTTTTTGAGGTACCTCCATATTGATTTCCACAGTAATTGCACCAGTCTGCACTCCCACCAACAATGGAGAAGGGTTCTTTCTCCCCACAACCATTTGTTATTGGATGATTTCTTGATAGAAGCCATTCATTCTGGAATCTCAGTGTTGTTTCCATCTTCATCTCTCTAATGACTAGTGATGTTGAACATTTTTTCATATGCTTCTTTGATGCTTTTACATCTTTGTCTGAGAAATGTCTTTTCATTTCAGATGCCCATTTTTGAATTGGGTCTTTATATTTGGGGGGGTCTGATTTTTTAAAGTTCTTTATACATTCTAGATAGTAGTCCTTTGTCTGAGAACAGCTGAGAAAAACTTTTTCCCACATTGTAGGTTGTCTCTTAGCTCTGTTGGTGGCTTCTCTTGCAGTGGGGAAGCTTTTTAATAAGATGAGATCCCAGTTGTAGATTTTTTGTGCTAGTTCCCATGCTACTGAAGTTTTGTTCATAAAGTCTTTTCCTATTCCAATGTCTTTAAGTGTTCTACCTGTCTTCCAGTAAGTTTAGTGTTTCTGTTTTGATATTTAGATCTAATATTTAGATAAAATCCACTTGGATTTTAGTTTAGTGCATGGTGAAAGATAAGGGTCTAGTTTTAATCTTTGGCAAGTTGAAATCCAGTTTTTCCAGCACCTTTCCTCCAGTGAGGATGGTTGGCTTGTTTGTCAAAGATGAGGTAGCTGAGTATATCTGGAGTTGTTTCTACATCTTCTAATCTATTTCATGACCTTCATATTTGTTTCTTTGCCCACACCATGCTGTTTTTATCACAGTGGCTTTGTAGTATAGTTTCAAATTGGGGATTGTGATACCCCCTGTCGTGTCACTGTTGCCTAGAATTGCTTTTGCTATTTTAGGTCTCTTTTGGTTCCAAATAAATTTTTGGATTGTTTTCTCTAGTTCTGTGAAATATACTATTGGGGTTTCAATCAGGATTGAATTGAATTCATATAGCAATTTTGGAAGTATGGCCATTTTCACTATATTGGTTATTATTACCCAGGAACAAGGGATGTCTTTCCATTTTCCTATATCTTCTTTGATTTCTTTTTTCAGAATGCTGCAGTTTTCAACGTAGAGGTCTTTGCTTCCTTTGTTAAGTTGATTCCTAGATATTTCATTTTTTGGGATGCTATTATGAAAGGAATTGTTTCCCTAGTTTCTTTCTCAGTGAGTATGTTATTTGCGCACAAGGAGGCTATTAATTATTGAGTGATTTTGTATCCAGCTACTTTACTGAATCTGTCAATTAAATCTAGAAGTCTTTTGGCAGAATTTTTTGGGTCTTCTATGTAGAGTATCATATTGTCAGAAAATAATGACAGTTTCACTTCTTCCTTTCCTGTCTTTATTGCTTTTATTTCTCTTGTCTAATTGCTGTGGCTAATGTTTCCAAAACTATACTGAACAGGAGTGGTAAAGTGGACATCCTTATCTTGTTTCTGATTTTAGCATGAAAGTTTTCAGTTTTTGACCATTTAGTATCATGTTAGCTGTTGGTTTTTCATAGATAGCCTTCATCAGGTTGAGATAAAGATCATCTATTCTAAATTTCTGTAGTTTTTTTTTTAAATCATGAATGGGTGTTGGATTCTGTCAGATGATTTTTCTGCATCTATTGAGATGATTGTGTGGTTTTTCTCCTTCACTCTGTTAATATAGTGTATTACATTTATTGATTTACATATGTTGAACCATCTTTGCATCCCTGTGATGAATTGATTTGGCCAGGGTGTATGATCTTCCTAATGATTCTCTGTATTCTGTTTGCCAGCATCTTATTGAGGATTTTTGTATCTATGTTCATTAGGGAGATTGGTATGTAGCTTAATTTTTTGATTGGGTCTTTCTCTGCTTTTGGAATGAAACTTAACATTTTCTTCCAGGAATGAATTTTGAAGTATTGCTTCCTTTTCAATTTCATTGAAGAGTTTAAAAAGTAGTGGCAATAGTTCTTCTCTAAATGTCTTGTAGAATTCAGCAGTGAAGCCATCTGGGCCTAGGCTTTTCTTTGTTGGTAAATTTTAAATTACATTATTATTGGCCTGGGATTTAGCTCAGTGGTTCCACTGCCTGTCTCACAAGTGCAAGGCCCCAAGTTCAATTCCCAGTACATAAAAAAATTTTTTAATTATATTTTCAATTTCACTGATTGTAATTGGGGTGTTTAGACTTCCTACATCTTCTATGTTCAACTTCGGTAATTCATGTGTATCAAGGAAGCTGTACATTTCTTCTGTTTGTCCCGCTATTAGAGTATAAATTCTCAAAGTGTTAATGATCCTCTAGATTTCTGCTGGATCTGTTGTGACTTCACCTTTTTCACTCCTAATTGCATGGATTTCTCTCCTTTTCTCTGACTAAGGGTTTATCAATTTTAAAAAACCAACTCAGACTCATTGATTTTTTGTTGTTGTTGTTGTTCTCTTAGTCTCAACTGCATCAATTTCTGCTCTCATCTTTATAATTTCCTCCTTTGTATGAGCTTTGGTTTGTCTTGCTCTTCTTTTTCTAGGAGCTTGAAGTTCAGCATTAGGTTGTTTATTTGAGCTCATTCTGTTTTCCTAGTATGGGCATTCACTGCTATGAATTTCCCTCATGGAGTTGCTTTCATTGTGTACCATAGATTCCTCTATGTTGTATTGAAATCATCAGTTAATTGTAGGCAATGTCTAATTTTTTTTTCAGCCTAAGTTGGAGGTTGTTTTCTTTTAAGGCTTGAAATACTTCACTCCAGGCTGTCCTTGACTTGAGGGTTTGTACTGAAAAGTCTGCTGTGATTCTGATGGGCTTTCCTTTACATGTGATTTGTTTCTTTTCTCTAAATGCTTGTA